AAAATAAATGCTTTAATGAGTAAATGAGTTCAGGATACAGAATGAACAATGTTATGAAATGTCCCATTACCAAGGTTGGTACTTACATCTACATATGCCAATCATTCAAACATGTAGGTACTAACCGACAATCCAAGGAGAAGCCAATTCAGTAAAATCTTGGTGTCCAACGGGAATAATTGGGAAGACAGAGACATTTGCAGGGTTATTTACTAAAGTATGTGCTCAAAGGGAATTTCACATCGAAGGACAGAATAGCGGAACTGAAACCATAACGGACTTGGAAAATGTTTTCAAGCTCATCTTCTTCGAATTTGAAATAAATTCTGCCTTTTGTGAAACACCCTATTTGAAAATCTAAAAACGGAAGTAGACGAGAGTACCCATAGTAGGTAATGTTAAACCTGGAAGAAGGATGAGAGATCAAAAGAAAACCAGGTAGAAAAAAAATTGAAAAGGAGGCGATACCTCCAGATGTCTAGTATAGAATGCTCTTGGTGAGATCCAAGTAAAGGATAAGTGATAGAGAGTCAGTTATTTATTACCTAAAATTATTAATAAGGTTTAATTAAAATAATTAATTATTCAAGGAAACATTACCATAGTCCTTCATTACTTCACATCTTAGCAAACATAAAAATTAGTGCAAAGGACCTTGCTTGTATTTTTTAACTTGTTCCTAGTAGCCATGCCTCCATATTTTTGTGTTCAGTAGAGTGCGGCACTTGGCAGCATTTAAAAGGTTAGACACTTCTGAAACTGGGATAATCTCCCACACAATATACCAAATGTGTCTTTGTCGGTCAACAACACCCTTCCTTTGCTTGCTTCAACCAATTCCAGTTAGTCCATTACATTTTTGGCCCATATATATGTTTTTTTTCCCATATACCATTACACCTCTAATGGATGTATTGGTTCTACCTGAAAATGGCTAAGGGAAATATATAACTTAACCCCTTAAGGACACAACTTCTGGAATAAAAGGGAATCGTGACGGAATATTTCTGTCATGTGCCATTATTGGGTTAATGGTTTGTATCACTTTACAAGATATTGTATTTACAATTAGCTCAGTAAAGAAGACAAAGAAATGGGAGAATATGTTGGAATACAATTACATTGCTACAGGTTTCTACGAGTATAGTGTCAGTTACCAAATTAATGTTCACTGTATGTGCAAGGTGGTACACCTGTGATCCTGGCATGTCCAAAAGAAGTCCTCCACAGCGGGGGACACTTCTTAAAAGAGGTGCCATCCTATATCCTATAGCGCATTAAAGAAGCACTATAGGGTCAGGAACACAAACATGTATTCCTGACCCTATAGGGTTAAAACCACCATCTAGCCACTCATGCCTCCCTAAAAATAGTAAAATATTACTTGTATTCAAGTCTGGAGCTGCTGGTTTTGTCCCGGTTTCCTTTAGACCTGCCCACTGCCTGCTGACATCAGCAGAAGTGGTAGCCTGATCTAATCACAATGCTTCCCCATAGGATTGGCTGAGACTGACAAAGAGGCAGATCAGGGGCAGAGGCAGCACAATTCAAACACAGCCCTGACCAATCAGCATCTCCTCATAGAGATGCATTGAATCAATGTATCTCTATGAGGAAAGTTCAGTGTCTGCATGCAGAGGGAGGAGATACTGAATGTTTGGATGCATTTTAGAAAGCCATGACCCAGGAAGGATCTTTAACAGCCATCCGAGGAGTGGCCAGTGAAGTTATCACTAGGCTGTAATGTTAACACTGCATTTTCTCTGAAAAGACAGTGCTTACAGCAAAAAGCCTGAAGGTAATGATTCTACACACCAGAACAAATTCAATAAGCTGTAGTTGTTCTGGTGACTATAGTGTCCCTTTAAGGGTGATAATGTTTTTTTTAATTTTGTAGTAAATTAGAGATTCATAATTTGTTTTCAGTTTTAAGGTAGTGGTATTATTGCAGTGTGAGCTATTAAATAGTGTGAATAAAGTACATAGACATTATCCTTCAAATAGGAAGTGTATGCATATGGGATGAGAGATACCAAAACATTCTAAAGACATTTCTCAGAATCCTGGTTGGAAAAGGGAAACGATCACTTCTCTGGAATTTACACCAGTGAATAAAAAAATGTAAACCACCAAAAAATTGTGTTTCATGAGATCTTCTGGTTTTCTTTCCAATTTATTGCAAAGATTTAGCAGACTGCATTATAACCCAGGTCAATCCATGCAAAGCCAGGGCAAACTCTACAAATGAAGAGGAAAAATAGAGACATTGTTTCATTTCTCCTCTTCTTTGTTTATTTTCTCTGTGATGACGGCCAGGTACAAAGGCCGGAGCTTATAACACTGTGACAGGGAGCTAAGATGGAGTTTCCCAGTTGAATTTCTACATTTAAAGCAGAACTGTCACCGTCTGGGGACTGTGCATAATTTGAAAATATCCCTGACGGTGACATCGCCGCTGGAAGTCCGGTGGCCTGGGGGAGGGCAGGGGAAGGTGACTGTA